AAAAAAAGTATGTAAAGAAGTTGATTGTGTGTAGTTTATATATATAATGTTATTGATATTGTATAATTTATATGTATAATTGAGCAACAACAATGTTGCCCCAGGGCGAAGATGAGCATTGTTATGCCAATGGGGCTGGATACATGAGGGTTCTGAAAAATGACAACAGATGAGAAGTTTTGAGTTGTGGGTCTCCCTACCATGAGGTGGAAAAAACAAACCAAACCAAAAAGGGTGAAAGGCTCTCAGATCACCCAGAACTAGGATGAACCCAGGACCTCTGCACTCAAAAAAACACCTTCCTGTAAATCTTGATGCAACAGAAGACTAATGCCATGCTTTCTTAAAAGTGGACCATCCTCCACTTCCTTCAAAACCTGCAACTTCTAGTTTGGGTCTGACCTGAGGGGTTTTCCCAATTGCATCATTTAGCAGTGCTGGTCTTACAAGTTTGTTTTGCTGGAAAGGTCTAGATTTGAATTAGAGGTTGGAGAAAGAAAATTTCAAAGGTGATTTTGAGGGGCATATTGAAATTTGGGAGAACTGGGAGGAGGAGAGAGTAGATATAATGGGAAAGAGTTAAGAAGAAAAGAAATGGGGTATGGTTGCCAAGAAACTATTAAAGTGAGGTTTGAAAGGCAATGGCTTATCTTTTTCCAAGATTGGGGGTCTGGAGTATGGAGAGTATGACAAGTTTTGACTTAAATTGAGTGTGGACTGGAGAAGGAAATGACAAACCGCTCCAGTATCTCTGCCAAGAAAACCCCATTAGTGTCGTAAGAGTCCCGTGACTGAACAACAAATGTTGAGTATGCAGTGTTTGTATTTCTACCACAGCCAAGTGTCTCATCTTTTTATCAAGTGTAGGTTGGTCTCCCTGAAAGAAGGGACTTGAGGGATGCCTCTATACTCCAAGTTACCAAGGACAGTTTAGTGTATCTATAAGTGGGGCTAAGGGGATCTGATAAGGGGAAAGGGATATCTTAGATGGAGGTGTAACCTTCCATTGTGCAGAAGTGGAGAGTGTGAAGGGAGTAAGGATAGCTCCAAAATGCTGCCAGGGTGCTCTGAGAGAGGCAACTCTTTGTTCCCTAAGGAATGCTGGGTTACAGTCACCCAGAAATAAGATTTTGTCAAGAGGATTCCCAGAATTCCTGGTGGTGTATGTGACAGAGAGGGGGTGTCCCAAAGTCTTAGTGCTTAAGCTTCAATAGCTTCAAAAAGTGTAAGTAAGTCCTACTTACAAAAAAGAAGAAAAAACCTTGTATTTACATTTTAAAAATTTCATTTTACATTTTTACATTTTAAAAATTTTATCTTTCTTTATAAAGTTTCATATAACCAACTTGTGCTAACTACTGTAAGTCAATTTTTGAACTTTGTAAAAACTTTTCTCAGCTGCTGCTACTCACTGACTTGTAGTCCTGGCCTCAAGATCATCCAAAAAACGAGGTTTTGATGTGACCCCCACAAGTAAAAATGGGGTCAAGTGACTAAAAGGTAGCTCAATGCATAGAGTGCTGGGCCTGGAGTCAGCAAGACTTGAGTTGAAATCCAGCCTCTGTTTGCCACAGTTTCCTCATCTGTAAAATGAGCTGGAGAAGGAAATGGAAAACCACTCGAGTATGTTTGCCAAGATCCCCATGGTCCACAGGGTCATGAAGTGACTGAAGTGGCCAAGCAAGAGGACCTGCTCTCAGAAAGTAATCTGTCGGGGGCAGCTAGGTGGTGCAGTGGATAGAGCACTGGCCCTGGTTTCAGGAGGACCTGAGTTCAAATCCAGCTTCAGACACATCACACTAGCTATGTGACCCTGGGCAAGTCACTTAACCCCATTGCCTAACCAAAAAAAAAAAGTAATCTGTTGCATTGCCTATGCGACAAATGATTACAAAAGAAGTTTTCACATTTTTTTGTAAGTTTGTAGCATACTTTTAGAATTAAAAAGCTAACTGCACTAAGATTTTTGGGACAGTGTGATATAAATATCTCTGTGTAGATATTTATATCTATATGGATATAGTCACTGGAACAAAGAGTGCATGTCTATGAATAAGGTATGAGAGGACTGGAAAGGTAGGGTGACATGATGGGACCTGTGTTTTAGGAAAATCACTTTGGTGGCTCCCACTAAAGGAGGATGGACTGGAGTGGGGTAATGAGGGCCTGTACTAGAGTGGTTGCAGCGCCAGAGTGTCGAGCAAAAAGTGTCAGGAGATGTTTCAAAAGACAGGCTGGAAGTGAGAGAGGCTGAAGGGAGTTGAATGGGTTGTTTGGGACATGTTGAGTTTGAGATGTCAGAGATGGGAGATTGGAGTCAGGAGAGGTAAATGACATCAGCTGAGATTCCATAAGTGAAGTGTCACAATTTCTTTAAAAGGGGGGGGGGTGGCTTCTGAAAGCTAGGCAGGTGGTGAACTTGCAAAACTAGACTTTTTTTTTTAAATAAGGTTAGTAGTTTGGACCTTGATTTCAGCAATGAATTTGGCATTGTGGGATGAGATGGCAAAACGTGGCCTGGGTATGAAGTCAAGTTTTAGGAGCCAATAATGTTCAATAGCTTTGAAGAAAAGGGAATGGTGAATTGGGGTGCTTCTATGCTTGGGTTTAGAGTGTTGGGACACTGAGAAGTCCCAAAAGTCATGGTTAGAACAGAGTTAAGGGGTTGCTTGTTGTCTTTCAAATGCCTCAAGGGTAGAGATGTGGAAACGGGAATGTACACTCCCAAGTCCCAAGTGGCACATGGCTGCAGCAACAGGACTCAAGCTCCATGACCTAACTGATGACGGCGAGGAAAAAACATTTTGGAAAGCATCTACTGAGGCCTGGGAGACAAAACTGGCATTTGCACAGCAACATTTTTATTGCTACTTAAGGCTTCCCTGCACATCAGTTTCCTCTCTTTGTTTTTGGCATTTAAAGAAAATTGCACAAGAACAAACATTTGTATCATTTCTACTAAGACTGACGCCCTTCCCCGAAGCAAACCAGATGAAGCTTGTGCTCCTTGGGGAGACAAGACAACAAGAGAGAAGCAGAAAGGGAGCTGAATCAGAGCTGCAGCAGTGGGAGGAAGAGGCTTGTGCGTGCAGGGTCAGGAGAAGGAGCTAGGACTCGTTTTCAGTCCTTTTCTCCACAGCTCCCGGTGATTTTCCAGTTGATTCCTATTCAGTAATTTAGATCCCCACTTCTGGTGATTCCAGAATGATTCTTGGAGAGGGAGGTCTTTCTTGCAGGAAAGGTCTGACTGCAACTTTGCCAAGTCCCAAAGAATGACCCATCTTTGGTGGGTGGGTAAGTCGAGGAGCAGAAGCAGCAAGCCTGGACTAACTGTGAAGAGGGGAAGACCAATGGAAGCCATGCTGCCATTGGGTGCTGGGGCAAGATCAGGAAAACCAAGCTAATGTGCTCAGTAAACCCAGGAGACAGGAACCCACTGGGGGGAACTGCATGCCTGCTCAAAGGCCTCTTGCAATATCTTGAGGCTCTCATCAATACCATTATTTACCAGCGTGAAATCAAAATAATGTGCATATCTGTTGTGGATAGTCTCAGAATCCTTTTGCAGTTGCTGCAAAGCTTCTGACTGCAAAGAGAAAAGGAACAATTAAATGAAATTGTGTTGCCTCTACAGGTTATGAGTCTCTAAGTGCTTCCACCCCCTTCCAACCTTACATTGTTTATACTTTCGGTGTAACATTGTTCCTAGGGACACTTTAGATAACCTCTCTGATGAGTGGCTGGTTAAAAACAAGGCAAAAGGAATCCCAGTTGGGCAGCCTATGGGAGAAGGGGCGGGGGCAGGAAGAACAGGGGCTGCTTGGTCCTTAAGTGAAGGGGCTTCCACAGGACAGCCTCTTCCCCACCCCCACTCCCAGTCTTCTCCACACACCAGAGAGGGGAACAAATCTTTGTAGCCCTCAAACTTCTTCTGATTTTGATCATTCTGATTTTGTATTTATGTTAACTTAGGTTGTTTCCAGTTTTTGCAATTACATACTGCTACTCTAAACAGTAAACACATTACATGAATTGATACTGACAGAACCAGGAGAACATTGTACACAGTAACAGCAACACTGTGTAATGATCAACTTTGTTACACTTAACTCTTCTCAGCAATACAATGAACTAAAACAATTCCAAAAGACTCATGATGGAAAATGCTATCCACATCCAGAGAAAGAACTATGGAGTCTGAAATGTAGATTGAAGCATACTGTTTTTTCTTCTTTCTGGTGGTTTTTCTCTTTTGTTCTGATTTCACAACATGAATTATGTGGAAATATGTTTACTATGATTGTACATGCCTGTATCAGATTGCTTTGCCATCTTGGGGAGGGGTGGGAAGAAGAGAGAAAAAAAATTTGGAACTCAAAATCTTATAAAAGTGAATGTTGAGAACTATCTTTACGTGTAATTGGAAAAAAAATACTATTAAGTAGAAAAAATAAACAGTAAACACAGATATTTTGTTGTTATTTTTGACACTTTCAGGTAGTATATGCCCAATCATTACTACCAGACTTCTCTCCAGAAAAATTTACAAATTGTACCAGCAAAGCAACTGTTTCTCAACCTTACCAGCATTGTATTTTGCTGCTTTTGTTTAGGTATGCAGTTTAAAGGCTGTAAGGCAGTGTCTCAAAGTAGTTTTAACTTTTAACTTATCCCTTCTTAAGTTGAGCATCTTTAAGGTTATTTTTTTTTAATAAAAATTTCATTTTGAACTAGATTTTGCTGCCATCCCTTGTGACAAGAAACAACTTGTTTCTTTGAAAACCCATTTGTGTTCTTTGACCATTGTAGAGTGTGATGCACCACTCCAGCTTTGAGATTTCTTGTCTTTTTTCCTGTTTTTTGCTCTGGAGAAGTGGTTGAAATCTACTAAATTTCGTTACCTGCCTGCCTTCCTTCCTTACCCCCCCACCCGGAGAAATAGCCACCTCTCAGCTATGACTTGAGAGGTCAGCCTGCTACCTTCTATTCCTGCTAGAATTCACTAAGGAACAAACATGGGGCTCAATTCCTTTCCCAATCAGTTTTCTAAATAAACAACCCTTTCCCAATTTGTATTAACAAATACTAATCTTTTATATACATTTGGATGGGTGTTTGGTTTTATACTTCCCGGTTTCCCTCTTCACTCTTTTTTTTCCATTTAAATTTCATTCTGATTTTGTCCACCTTATAATAAATGACATAAAAAGAACAATACTACCTCAATTTACTCTTAAAGTAATAAGGAAAAGTGGAAGGAGGGGAGGGGCATTGGGTGGAGTGCCAGATCTCAAAGTGTACTCCAAACCCCCAAACACTGGTAGAGAAGCCAAAGAGCGAACCCAGTATATGACAGACCCACAGATGCCAGTTACTGAGGGAATGATTTGACTATTTGACAGAAACTGCTGGGAAAACTCAACAGACCTTTTATAGCTCTCACACCAGAGAAGAAAGGAAGAAGTTACCTGTCAGCTCAACCAAAAGGGTAAGAGTTCATGATGAAACAAGCACAAGCAGAAAGTTGGGGAAATTGATGGCAAGTTTCTCTGACAAGGAATCTCATGCAAGATTTTATACACACACACACACACACACACACACACACATTCCAATTGTAATAGATAAAAGAAATAAGCAGTTTTCAGAAGAAATCCTAGCTATCAAACAATCGTGAAAAAAATGTTTTAAATCACTAATCATTTAAAGAAATGCACATTAAATCAACATAAATGTTCCACCTCACACTCATCAGATTAGCAAAGATGATCAAAGAGGAAAATACTGGTGAGGATGTAAGAAAATAGAAACACTAATGCACTGTTGATGGGACTGTGAACTAGTCTAACCATTCTGGAGAACCACTTGGAAGGATGCCCAAGAAACCACTAAACTGAGTCACGGATACTGCTACTGGGTTTAGCCCAAGAAGATCAGAGGAAAAGACTTCAGTGTCCAAAAAATTGGACCATTGTGGAAAAGTTAAATTATGGTATTACAATGTTGTTCCATAAGAAAAGATGAAATGGAAAGTGGGAAAGGGAAAAGGAATAAGTATCTATTAAGAGCCCACTATGTGCCAGGAAATGGCAAATCACTCCAGTATCTTTGCCAAGAAAACCCAATGGACAGTATTAAAACACTAAAAAGATATGACATCAGAAGGTGAGCCCCTCAAGTTGGAAGGGCCTGGTGTGCTACGGTCTATGAGGTCACTAAGAGTCAGACATGACTGAATGACTCAGAAACACATGTGGCAGGCACTGTAGTAAGCACTTTTTACAACTATCCCACCTGATCCTCACAACAGCCCTGGGAGGAAGGTGCTGTTATTATCCTCATTTTAGAAATGGTAGGAAAGGGAGGCAGACAGAGGTTAGATGACTTGCCCAGAACCCAAAGCTAAGAAATGTCTGAGACCATATTTGAATTCAAGTCTTCTTGACTCCAGGTGGCACAGTGGATAGAGTGCTGGGTCTGAAGTCAGGGAAACATCTTCCTGAGTTTATATCTGGTCTCAAAATTCCTAGCTATGTGACCCTGGGCAAGTCACTTAACCCTGTTTGTTTCACTTCCTCATTTGTAAAATAAGCTGAAGAAGGAAAAGGCAAACCACTCCAGTATCTTTTCCAAGAAAACCCCAAATGGGGTCACAGCCTCTTGATGAAGGTGAAAGAGGAAAGTGTAAAAGCTGGCTTGAAGCTTAACATTAAAAAAAAAAAATCCAACAACAATTAAGCTTGGCAACTTGTCCCATCCCTTCCTGGCAAACAGAGGGAGAAGAAATGGAAGCAGTGTCAGATTTTATATTCTTGGGCTCAAACGTCATGGCAGATGACCACTGTAGCCACAAAATTAAAAAACTCTTGCTCCTTAAAAGGAAAATGGCAAATCTGAACAATATATGAAAAAAGCAGAGACATCACCTTGCTGACAAAGGTCCTCATAGTCAAAGCTATGGTTTTTCCAGTAGCAATGTGTGGCTGTGAGCATTGGACTATAAGCAAAACTGAGTACTGCAGAATCGACCCTTTCAAATTGTGGTGCTGGAGAAGACTTTTCAGAGTCCTTTGAACAGCATGGGGATCAATTCAATCAATTAATAAATTAACTCTGTTTACTGGAAGGTCAAATTTAAGCTGAAGCTTAAATACTTTGGCCACATAATGAGAAGACAGGAATCATTGGAAAGGACCCTGATGTTGGGAAAGATTGAAGGCAAAAGGAGAAGAGGAAGGCAGAAGATGAGATGAATAAATAGTGTCACAGAAACAATGAACACGAACTTGGAGAGACTTCAAGGGATAGAAAGACCTGGTGTGCTATGGACCATGGGGTCACGAAGAGTTGAACCACAACTTCCTGATTTCAGGCCCAGTGCCCTGTGGCACCGCCTAGCTCCCTCTGAACCAATGCAGAGCCAAGTCAGCAGAACTAGAACGAATTATAACAACAGCATAGAGAACACCACCTTTGAAAGACTTCCGAACTTTGAGCAAGGCTGAGATAATAGCCTTCTTCCTCCTCCTTCTCCTCTGAGGATTTTGTGGCTATATTATGACAATACATAATATATTACATATTATATATTGTCGCCATGGGGCTCTATACATAATAGGCACTAAATAAATATTTCTTGAATATTCTGAAATATTTCTATCAAGATCTTTGGAATCCCAATTTGGACATCCAACTTTTACTCCCAGTTTGATGTTATTGAAAAAATCTGGTAATCATTTGCCAGGCAGCATACTTAACAGAAGTCTTATCCAAGTGTTACAAGCCAGTCACTGTGCTATCTGAATAGCGTTCCATCCACAAGGAGATCAGAAATTTTGTTAAATGCCTTCAGTTTTCCCATATAGATCTACCTGGTCTTGGCAAACCCACACTGGCACGGGATATCCCGTTCACAACTGGGAAAAGGGGGATCTGTACAGATCCTAAAACCCAGTTTTAAAAATCCTAATCCTTTTAAATAGCCTGAAACATTTTCCAATTTTTTAAATAGCATACACATCAGAAACTAACTCTAAATGCTATGGAGACACTTTAATTCTTGTTGTTATTTGTTTGTTTGTTTGTTTTTTGTGAGGTAGTTGGGGTTAAGTGACTTGCCCAGAGTCACACAGCTTAGTGAGTGTTATGTGTCTGAGGGCGGATTTGAACACACTTTAATTCTTTTTGTTTGTTTGTTTGTTTTTTGTGAGGCAACAGGGGTTAAGTGACTTGCCCAGAGTCACACAGCTAGTAAGTGTTATGTGTCTGAAGGTAGATTTGAACTCAGGTCCTCCTGACTCCAGGGTTGATGCTCTATCCACTGCACCACCTAGTTGCCCCCATGCTTTAATTCTTGATCAACTTCAAGGACTCAAGAGACATTTCTATCCAGCTCCTAGGAGACAATCTTGGCAATCTATACAGAGACAATCACGTAGGCAAAATCACCACCAAGTCACCATGACTCTGCCATACAAAGGACACAGGAAGGAAGCTGACTGTCTTCCTTAGTTTTAAGCAACAATACACTTTTTCAAACTATCTTCCTAAGTACTGTTTTCTCCAGAGAAATTTCAAGCAAGCAGTAGATCTGCATATTGGAAGGGCACTTCTCTTTGGCCTGTGCTCTCTGGCCCTCCTCTGAGTACTGACCTCAATTCATACTTCTCAGTGTGCATGAATAGGGCAGGGGCCTATTCAGGAATGGTTTTTTTCTTCTTGTCCTTAGTATCAGACATTGCCTAGGGTAGGTGCTTAATGAACACTCTGAATTAAATAGAATTTCCTTAAAGGTGGGATTGCAGGGGAGATGTGAGAGATGTTTTCCCAAAAGAACCATATCAAATATGGAGTATCTCTCCTTGTACTATAATAATGAACTATTCCCTTAACCCTTTTTAGCAGCTACTTCCTTTGGGATGAAAAGGAAGCCATTCTCAAAAAGGTGTCACTGCAGACAGCTGGATAATAATACCTAGCTCTCACCCCACCTCTACTGTGGAGTGGCCCAGGGGTTCCAGGCCTTCCTTTCTTCTCTCTCTCACCATCATTTATCTTGTAACTTCCCCAGACAAGGGTTCTGCCTTTGCAGAATGGTATGGTATAGGGGCAGTTAGTTAAACATACCTTCCAGTCATGGGGTGGGGGGTAGTGGGGTGGGCAGGGAGCAGGCAGGGAAAAAGAAAACCATTTAGTCTCACAAGCAGACCTGAAGACCAGACACCTCAATCTTGCAGCTGATGATTTAGTTTGGGCAAAAAAAGTTCAGAATCCAAGGAATCCAAGAGAACAGTCCTCTTGTTTTAAAGGGGAAGAGGCTCAGAGAAAGGAAAGCAAGAACGAAGGAAGAAAAGAATAAGAGATAAACATGAAAATAGGCCTATAAAGAAAGGGAAAGAGCTGGGAGATTGAGAGTCATATCTCGAGTGCAGCAAGTAGGTTAAAAAGAGGATGACAGCTGGAAGGGGTGAGTTTTCTAGGTCCATCCCTTCTCTCTGCCTCCAGGGGTTTATCAAAAATATCATTGATTTAATAGAGGCAAGGAGCAGTCAGAATGGGTGCTACACAGATCCCAGAGTGTGCCCTCTCCATGTTTAGTCCCAGGTCTTCCTCCTCCTTCCCCCAATGCCATCCCACCTGATGGGCCTTGTCTGTCGGAGCAATGAACACGATGAAGGGGGACAGTTCTGCCGTCCGAATAATCTTCAGGGTCTGGGAGGGAAAGAGGGAAGAAACGAGAGTAAATAAGAACAGTAACTTCAGCCAATATACTCTGCCTCACTTGAGCCTCTTAAGAGCTCTGCCTGGGAGAGAGGTACAATAGACACTGGTATCTTCCTTTGCTGGATGCTGAGAGGTTCCAGATCTGAACCCAAGGCTCTGCTGACACCAAGGCTTGTGCTCGTAGCACTACCATGCTGCTCCTCATGCAATAGTGACCCTTAGAAATCAGCACTTTGCTACATGGTGGGGCCCTGGACATCAGGTTTGACCTCCACTTTCTTCAGATCCATTTGCAGAAATGCTTGCTTGCTGTCTCTTATGATCCAGGGAAGGTGATCTGTGTGACCTCAGCCAAGGCCCTTCCTATTTCTGGGCCTTAGTCTCCTCTAAAATGAGCATTGGAAACAAGTGGGCAGGTTGAGCCTGGAGGAGAAGCCTCAGCGGGACCTGTGGGCTAGGAGGGCTGGCCTGAAGAAGAGGGCCTCAAACCAGGGGCAGAGGCAGCCTGAAGGTTGGTGTCTGAGAAAGCTTCCCAATTCTTAGAGCTCCCCCAAGGCAACCCTCAGCAGAAAGAAGCAGGATGACAATGTGCATCTGTGTTGCATTGAGAAGGCTCTTGTTGTAGTACAGTGGGAATCCAAACATTGCGAACTAAAGATCTGGTAATTTCAGATCAAAGAAAGGAGGGTGTGTAAGCAAGGCCAGGGAAATACTGACGTTCCCTTTTCTATTACTGGTTTCTCAACCTCCAAAGTCATAATTTTTTTTTTCCCACTAAGCAATGGCTAGTGAGTGTTATGTGTCTGAGGCCAGATTTGAGCTCAGGTCCTCCTGACTCCAGGGCTGGTGCTCTATCCAGTGCGCCACCTAGCTGCTCCCATAAATTACTTCCTTTTTTTTTTTTTAAAGGCAATTGGGGGTAAGTGACTTGCCCAGGGTCATACAGCTAGTAAGTGTTATGTGTCTGAGGCCAGATTTGAATTCAGGTCCTCCTGACTCCAGGGCCAGTGCTCGACCCACTGCGCCACCTAGCTGCTCTTCCCATAAATTATTTGAGGGGAAGATTTGCAAACCTGTGTGTATGACCTCAAAGAAGAGATGTAAGAAGGTGCCTCCTCCTCACATACACACAACTATAGGTGGTCAGGGTTTGGTTTGAGGGAAACAGAAACATTCCACTCATCTAAAGTGACAGAAGGAACACAGCAATTAAACAAATAATTAAACAAATACTTCCCTGCATGGCACTCTCCCTTGGTAAACAAAGTTTCCATAGTGTCTTAGGAAGAGAGAACTCAAAGGTTTCCAGAAACCTTGAAGTCATAGACCCTTCTCCCTCCCCTGCCCCCCCCCCACTTTTGGCAGGCTGAGGGAGCCTATGGGCCTCTTCTCAGAAGAATTTTTTTTGTTTTTGTTTTTTGTTTTAGGCAATTGGCGTTAAGTGACTTGTCCAGGGTCACACAGCTAGTAAGTGTCAAGTGTTTGGTCTGAGGCTGGTCCTCCTGACTTCAGGGCCGGTGCTCTATCCACTTTGCCACCTAGCTGCCCCTTCAGAAGAATTTTTTAAAGGTGTGAAATAAAATTCATAAGATTACAAAGGAAAGCAATTGCACTGAAAGAGAATTACTAAAAAAAAGTTTTTTTTAAAAACCCACCATGTTCCCAGCCTTGATCCAAGGCTGCATGTCAAATCCTAAATGTAGCAATAGCCCTTCTCCATGAGAGGAGAAAAAGGGACTTGTAAGAGCTGGCCTGAGCTCACACACCAACCCAATCCATTTCAGGGACAGATTCAGCTGACTGGGGCTACACAAATAAATCCATCCATCCATCCATCCATCCATCTATCCATCCTTCCTTCCTTCCTTCCTCCCTCCCCCCTCTTCTTGGCCAGCACAACACTAAGTCATAGCAGGCCTCAGGATCCAACAAATAACAGGTGGTCTCTTTTCTCAAAGGACACCCTTGCCCTTCCCCCACCAACCTGAAGCCAGGTCTTCTTGCTATCGTCATTAAGTATGGTAGCCTCACCATTTCCTACTATCTAGTAATGGCTACTCCACTGGCATGCTTTTCTATTTCAACCAACTGAAGCTAGCAGGCAGCAAAGTGCTTTGGCCCAGCCCCCTGCCCATCCATGAGGCCCAGGACCTCATTCCATTCACCTGGGGCTCAATGTCCAGGACGGCAACTTTGTCCTGCTGATGGATCTGGTGCAGTGTCTCAAATTTGGTGCCAAACATGTTGCCCTGGTAGCTGCCAAATTCTAAGAACTCATTGGCTGAGATATTCTTGGTCATCTCCTCAGTGGAGATGAAGTGATAATCCTTCCCATTTTCTTCACTCTTCTTTGGAGGTCGGGTGGTATCTGCAGAAAAGAGCCGACAACACTCAAGTCCATCAGCTGGACTATCACCCTTGCCTCCTGACTAGTCTGCCAAACTTATCTTCCCAAAGCAGAGGGCTGCCCAGGTCACGTCCCTGCTCAAAGGCCTTCACTTGTTGCCTACTGCCTAATGTACCGATGCCTCTGTTCGGCATTTAAAATCCTTCACAACCTTTTTCCCCACTTATTTCATGTTATTTTCTACCCTCACCACCCCCACACTCTGTTTCAGTCAAACTGGCCAATTTGTTGTTTCCCATGTATAACACTGCATCTTTCATCACCATGCCTTTACAATGTGTTCCCCATGCCTGGTATGCCCTCCCTCCTCACTGCTGCCTTGCCTCCTTTAGAATGCCTTCAAGATTTCTTCCAGATGGCCCAGCAGGAGGCCTTTCCTGGTGTGACCTTCTCTCCTTCCTATAAAAGGACTTTCTGTTTATTTTGCATTTACTTCTGTATGCAGTATTGTATCTCTCCCAGCCCCCCTTATCTCCACCCAGTAGAATGGGTGATCCTTAAAAACTGGGATTGTTTTGCATTTTGTTTTTGTATACCTTGCGGATTTCGAGGGAGATGGGAGGGGAAAATTTGGAACTATGATTTCAGAGAGGAATTCCCAGTATGGAAACGCCTCCCACCAATACAGATGGACAATCTGCCTTTAACTTTTAGTCATAAGAGAAATGCCTAGGCAATGAGAGCCTAAGTGACTTGCCCAGAGTCACATGGGTCGTATGTGTCAGAGGCAGGGCTTGAACCTGGATTTTCCCAATTCCTAGGTTGGCTCATTATCTACCAAGCCAGTCATCCTGCCCCTTGCCTCGAGCAGGGTAGCTGCTTAACAAATACTTACTGCCTAAAGGAATGCTATAGACAAGTTCCTTGAAGGACAGGAAGCATTTTGTTGATTTTTTCTCATCTCAGTTTCTCTAGAGCCTACTTAGAAATATGTATAGGGGAAGTCCACTTCGCTATAGGAGGTAGGAAGGCCATGGGCCTGCTGGGCTCCTCTGCCCCTTTGCTCTCCCTGACTGAGGAAGATGCAGCCACAATCACAAGTAGTAGCCAAGTGACATTGGGAAAATGAGCTGAAGGCATCGCACCCAGCTGCCAGTCACCCTTTATACTGGGGACCTTGGGCAGGAAGCAGACAAAAGTCAATGCCATCCTTACCACTTGGGCAAAGTGGGGCCATTGACCCAACTCACATCTCAAAAAGCCAACAAGGTAACCAACCAAGTGGCGGACTGTAGGACCAGAGGCCAAGGCCAATTTGTATTCAAAGGTTCTCTCCAAGGACTCAAGCAAATAAGGCCAGGGGCAATGCCAAGATGTGACTCTTGGCTCAGATCAAAGAGTAAGGACTAAGCCAAAGACAACTCAGCCTGTGAGCGTGATGAGAAACTGGCCCCAGGGTCACCAGGCACTAGGCAGAGGCAAGGCCAAGAGATCTGCTCTGGCGGTCTATTGCTGCAGGTTTCACAGAGTTGGCTTAGGCCTTAAATGCAGCCCCCCTCCTCTCCCCCCAATTTGCAGATGAATTGACTTCCAGACTAGAGCTTGGCTCTGAAGCTCCCAAGGGGCACTCACGTGGAGCCGGGTACACAAACTTCTCTGGGTTCTTGTTGACCAGGGCATTCTTGATGTGGCTGCGACCTACCCCATTGGCTCCTGTTTGGGGAGAGAAGAGAAAGCCAGCAGGTGAAATTTTAGCAGCAGGTGGGCTGCCACCACCACTTTGGGAAAGGGGGAAAGTAAGGGCAGAGCAGAGCTGCGGCAGCTAGCTTCCTGTGATTCAGCTCCAGGTAGAGCAGATCCCAGCAGCTATTGGCCATTCTGACTAAAGTGTGTGAACTGACAGGGGGAGGGCCAGGGGGCCTAATGCTAGGCAAGCATCCTTCCTCTCTTTCCCCAGGGGAGGGCAGGACAAGGGCCTCTTTCCTCAAGCCCTTCTTTCTTTGTCTAGGCCATTTCTACAAAGGTTCAGGTGTCCATATGGTAAATTATCTTTAAACGCTCTGGGGAACCTTCAAGAAAGGCATCCAGCTTCATGTTCAATGTGGATTGACCATCCTCTCTCCTTCTCTTTCTCTTTCCCTCTTCCTCCCTCCTCTGTGTCTGTCTATCTCTCGCTTTGTCTCTGTCTCTCTCTCTCACGAGATCAAAGATCCTTCCAGTGCCAACATACCAGAAGTGGGTGATAGAAGTCTCCATGTTTCTCTCTTGGAGAACTCAAGCTGAAGGCCATGACTTTGGCCCAGCCAGCCTGTCCCTCATGCCTGATACACTCCCTTCCTCATCTCCTTGAACTTTCTTGCTCCTCTTATCTTCCAACCCAGACATCTCTTTTTGACTTTGTAAATATTTCAGCCTGACACAGTAAGTCGACTATAAGCTCCTAGAGGCCAGGGACTGTTTCATTTTGGTCTCTGTAGCCCCAGCACCTAGCCCCATGTCCATCCCCCTAACTGGATTCCCTCCCTTGTGGTTCCTGTGCTGGGCTGCCGCTTCCAGCCATATGCCATGACAGACACCATGTTTCTGAAGTCCAGACAAAGGCTGCTACCTGTCCCCCCCTCCCCCAGCCCCAACTCCACACATGCCCTTCTAATGGCGCCTCTGCTGCCTTTCACCCCTCTTTCAGGGGATGAATGCCACTGGAGTAAGCACTTGTCCAATGAGGGTAGAAGCTTTTCTCTGCTGCCAGTGAGGCAGGCCAGGGTTGCTGCCTGAGGAATGCAGGCCTCTTCACACACCTATCAGCACCAGGGTCTTCCTTTTGAATGCAGGGAGCTGTACGACTTCCTCATAGGAAACCACATCCAGCTGATCGAAAACTAGAGGCAAAGAGAAGCCAACAAGAGTCAGGAGCCCAGCCAAGTACTGTGGGACCTCACCACTCCAAGCCTTGGGGCAGAACTCAACTTTCTTCCCAGTCCCTTTCTTTTATCATCTTCTGGTCTATAGCTGGGAGGAAACTCAAAGGTCATCTAACCCAACTCTCTCCTTTCACAGAGGAGGAAACTGAGCAGCAGGGATGGGAAGTGACTTGCCCAAGGTCACACAGGGAGTAAGCAATAGAGGCAGGATTTGAACTTGAGCACTCTGTCTCTAGAGCCACTGATGCAGAAACCATTCTGGAAGAAATCCTTGAATGTCCTAAGCATTTTTGAAATCCTGGAGCCCAAGTTCAAGGACACTGATAACAAGAACAAGGGACCAGAGAAGCTGGCCAGTCCATTTTACAGGCAAGGAAAGTGAGGCCCAGAGAAGAGAGGGAATTTGCCCCAAGGTCAGCCAATATTAATTACCAAGCAGAAGGACACTTACTAATGATAGGTGATCATATATTAATTAACTAATTAACTGGGAGTTCAGCTCACACCCAGCAAATTAAGAAAGAAAACAAAAGACAGAAAGAGGCAATGCTGGAGGGGCTATGGGAAAACAGGCACAATAATACATCATTGTGACATAGGTGCTAGCTGTGAATTGGTCCAACCCTTCTGGAAAGCAATTTGGAATTATGCAAAGAGAAAAAATGTCCGTAACTCTTTGACCCAGAGATCCCACTGCTAGGCACATGCCCCAAGAAGGGCAAAGGGGAAAAAAATGCCCATCCACACCAAAATATTCATAGAAACACTTTTTGTAGTGGCAAAGAACTGGCAACCAAATGAGTAAAGGGGGAAAAAAAGGCCCATCCACACCAAAATATTCATAGAAACACTTTTTGTAGTAGCAAAGAACTGGCAACCAAGTGGGTTCCCGTCAACTGAGGGAGAGCCAAATTGTGGGACATGAATGTGTTGGAATAACTTTGACCCTAATTTCATTGGAAACGATGAGTATGCAGAATTCAGAGATGCCTGGGAAGACTTGTGTGAATACAGAATGAAATAAGCAAGAGATCTGAAAAAGTTACATACAATGACTGCAACAACATCAATGGAAAGAAAAAAATGAAATTGAATACTGAATAATCATAAGCGTGGTCCTAGAGAACAATTGAGAAAATTTCCTTCCAGGACCCTCCTTGCAAAAGTGGAGAACTAGGCCCGTGGCACATTACAGACACTGTCAGACCCAGCTCAAGTCAGTTGCTTTTGCTGAAATGCTTTTATTACTCTTTAACTCTCTGTCACAAAGGAAGGCTGCTTGGCTAGGGAAGTTGGCTGGTTGGCTTTGTTTACAGTCTTCTGCTTACCCCCAAAATCTTGCTGTGACTGGTTTTGGTGCATACAGGAATAGTGTCTTTGGGATGTGAGATCTCGGGATCAAAGTAAATGGATACATGTCTTAGTCACATTTTTTTTAAAAAAAGCCTAATTTCAAATTGCTTTTCAGAAAGGTTGGAACAATTCGCAGATCCACCAATAATGTATTTCCATTTTTGGTTATCTTTAGCATTTTGTTTGGTATTAGATGAAACCTCAGACTTGTTTGATTTATATTCTTCACTTGCATCATTCTTTTACATGGTTAATCATAGTGGGTAATGTGTCTTGAGAGTTGTTTGTTCATTTCCTTTGACCACTTATCCATTAGGCAATAGATCTTGGTCTTATATATTTGTGTTAAATCCCTAGAAATCTTGGATAGCAGGTTTTTATTAAAGAATTTAAAGATTTTTCTTCCAATTACATTTTTCTTATTTTATTTTTGTCACCTTGATTTTGTTCATGCAAAATCTTTCCAATCTTATGTAATTCAAATTTGTGGTATAGTGCCTCAAGTACTGAACTGGAGTCAGGAAGATCTAGGTTTAAATTCCACTTTAGCCCCTTAGCAGCCATGTGACCCTGGGCAAGTCACCTAACCTCTCCTAGCCTCAGTTTCCTGACCTGTAAAATGAGAGGGTTGGAATGAGAAGCCCATAAGGTCCCTTCCTGTTCTAAACCTATGATCCTTTTGTGATCTCCTCTCTTCCTTGTTTAGTTCATTATTCTCCACTTAGGGAGGGAATGTTGGAAAATATATATGATATAAAAAAAACAATTTAAAAAAATTTTTACTTCGCAAAATTATGAAACATAGTTCCATCTATCTTTCCCCAAAATATTTTCATGATTTCACCATTTATACATAGGTTCCATATCCAGCCTAGGCCCTCTTCTCTTTGGCCCCTGTCACTTGGGGATCTCATCAGCTCCCACGGATTCAATGACCATCTCTATGCTGATGATTCTCAGGTCTACTTATGCAGCTCCAATCTCTCTGCTGATCTCCAACTCTGAATCTCTAACTGCCTTTCAGACATCTCCAAATTGATGTCCTGTAGACACTTCAAACTCAAAATACCCAAAACAGAACTCATCATCTTTCTGTCCAAATCTTGCCCTCTTTGGAACATTCCTATTATCATTGAGGGCACCACCATCCTTCCAGCCAACTAGGCTTAAAACCTAGGTGTCATCCTTGATGCTTCACCCCACCTACATTTGATCTGCGGCTAAGGCCATCAACTTTATCTTCATAACATCTCTTAAATGATTCTCCTTTCCCTCCTGACACTGCCCCCACACTGGTGCATGTCCTCCTCTCCTCATGCCTGGATTATTACAATAGTCTCCTTCCACCTCACCCCATTCGGTCACCTTCCACTCAGCTGTCAAAGTGATTTTCCTAAAGAGCAGGTCTGACCACGTCACCCCCCCACCCCCACTCAATAAGACTTCAGTGGCTTCCTATCAATGCCAAGGTCAAATATAAAGTCCTCTATTCAAAGCCCTTCATAGCTTGCCCCTCCCCCACCTTTCTAATCTTCTTACACCTCATCCCCCTCCCACACTCTTGATCCATGAACAATACACCCCATTTCCGACTCTAGGCCTTTGCCCTGGCTGTCCCCCATGGCTGGAATGCTCTCCCTCCTCATCCTTACCTCCTGACTTCCCTCAAGTCCAGCTAAAATCCCACCTTCTCCAGGAAAAACATTTCCTGATCCCCATTAATGTGGAAGTGCCTTCTTTCTTATTGATTTCCAATTTATCCTGTATTTCACTTGTTGGTACATGGTTGTCCTCTCCCATTAGACTGTGAGCTCCTGTCTTTAGCACTGAGGTACTTAATCAATATCTATTGATGGACTTTGAAATGTACTGTGGTATATGATAGAACCCGCTAGTCCAAGCCTATTTAGGGCCAAAATACTTCCCGGTTTCCCTAGTAGTTCTTATCAAATAGAGAGTCCTTTCTCCTAAGTAGTGCAAGTCATTTATGTTCTTGCATTTGTGGAAAGAAAGCTTGATTATGTTGTTCAGAAAATGAATTACTATTCTGTTTAAATCCGACTTTAGATGCTTAGAGACTGCTTGCTCCCAGAATGTTGCCTGACCTCAATAACTCTCTAGGAATGCTGGAGATGGCTACAAGGAATTTTGGGATCCCTGAGGCGCTGGATCTCCCCAAAGCATTCTTGTTTGGGGTCCACCCAAGCTGGTGTCTTGGTTTCCTTTTGAGTTCTAGCCTCATCCAAATTTTATTTTTACATCTACTCCTATCTGTCTCAATCTACCTGGCTGTCCAGCTGCCCTCTCAGTGAAATTGCTTAACTGAAGCCCATGTGATTCACATGTGATTCGTATAGGATAGCTTTGTCAGATGCTTTATGTGTGACTCGTGTGCAGAAACCTTTGTCAAAGTCCTATATAATGTAAGTCTTCCAGAACCTGGGGGAGGGAGTCACCCCTTCTTTCTGGCTCTCTCTTCTCTACCAAAAGACCTCATAAATTTCTTTCTAAAACTATTTCCGATTTTGGGGTTTGTTCTTGTGAATACACTACACCCCCATTTTACAGGCCTAGGAAGGGGGAAGATCAGTGACACTGCTCATCACGTTCTGCTCTACCCCTCATCCCTTGCTCTCATATTCTGGGACTTTCATGTTCTCAAACACACCGGTTATCAACCTCCACCCTCCACAGAGATCCCTTTGAACTTACCTTTCCCCATAACGATTCCACCTCCACAATCCTCAGTTCTGATCACAGCCTCCTACCCTTCCATCTCTCCCTCTGTCTGTCTCATCTCTCCTAAGCCTGTTCTTTAGACTTACCATGGCCACCAGCCTCTCACTCCTCCCTGTTTTCTGGGTCCATATAGTCTATTCTAGCCTCCTTTTCCTCCTCTCAGTTTTGATCAATCATACACTGTTTGCTCCCCATGAATCCTGTGATCCCATGTCCTTCTGCTGTTCATACCTTGTCAAACTCCATCTTGGGGTGACCCACATCTGCCTTCTTTGCTCCCACTCATAGAGTGATGAACACCGATGGGGGAAGTTCACTAACAGTTTATATGACCTGACTTCAACTGGGCCCAGACGCTACATAGAAATTCTTTTGTCTTTTATCCTTTGATCCTTATCCCAATTAACTCTATCACACTCCTTGCTGCAGCTGTTGCATACCTCTTCTCTCCTAAAGCCAACCAAATCCTCCCCTCTTCCTGAGGAAGGTGGGATTTTGGCCAGGAAGCCAGATGACGATGAAGAGGGAGAGCATTCCAGACATGTGGGATGGCCAGCCAGAGAAAATGCCACCACCTACCCCTTCCTTCGCTGTTTTTTCCTAGCACAGGACTAGCCTTCTACCTCACTAAGAAAACTCAAGTCTCTCTTGTGAGCTCCCACTTCCCCTCTGCTCCCCAAGTCAAAAACTCTTCTCCGCTCCTTCATTCACTCCTGTCTGCAATGAAAGGGTAGCCTTTCTTTTTCCAATGCCAGCATCAATCCCTGTGTCCTTGATCCCACCCCACTCCCATCTCATTTCCTCGAGGACTTTGGCCCTCATTCCTTCCCTCTGCCCTGCAATCACTTCCACTGGCTCCATACATAGATAGTTCTCCCTGATCCTTTAAAAACAAACCAAAAATTTCATTTGATCTCGCCATCCCTTCAAGCTATCAAACTAGAGTTTTTCTTCTGTTCACAGCCAAACTCCTAGAAAGACACATCTCCATGTATTATCTCCAGTGGATTACTTCCTGCTCATTTCTCAACTCTTTGCAATCTGGCTCCAAAACATTTCTCTCTATCAGTGACCTGATAAAACCAATGATCTCCCCCCCCCCCCCCCCCCCCCCCCCAAAAAAAAAACAACGATCTTGGAAAATTTCTCTATCTTACTTGACTTCGGCAACCTCTGACACTGTAAAGCACCTATTTGAAGCACCCTCCCCATCCCCCAAAACTCCCCATGCTTCCACAACCCTGCTTTCCCCTGGCTCTCCTCCTCCTTCTCTGACTGCTCCTTCTCAGTCTCCCTCACTGCATCTACTCCTAACCCCCACTGCAAGCATGGATGTTGGCTTCCTAGAACCTTGACCTTGTCCTTCTCTTCTCTCACTATTCTCCCCACAAGTGAGCTCATCAGTTCCTCTGAGCTCCATTGTCTCTCTCAAACTGATATACCTAGACGGACTTTCTCTCCTGAAATCCAGGCCCAGACCACCTAATGCTTGCTGCACATTTCTAGCTAGATGCCTCATTGCTAACTCAAACTCAATATGTCCAAATCAGAACACATGATCTTTTCTCTTCAACTGCCTCATTTCTGTTGAGGGTACCACCATACTTCTGGTCTCCCAGATTTCAACCTGAAATTGATTCATCTTTGATTCTTCCCCCTCCCCTTAATTTCACCCCCCCCAAGCCATTCAGTTGTCAAATGTCATCAGTTCTAGGTCTCCACATCAGTCCCCTTCTCTCTACTCACATGGCCACAACCCTAATTCAGGCTCTCATCAATCCTTGCCCACTTTTTATTAGAGCCTACTAATTGGCTTCCCTGCTCCCAGTCTCTGTCCTTACCATTCCATCCAATAACAACAACAATGATAACAATAATAGTAGCTCACATTTACAGAGAGCTTTAAAGTTTGCAAATATGATCTCATTTGATCCTCATGACAACCCTGGGAGGCAGGGGCTATCTAAAATGATCCCCATTTTACAGTGGAGCAAACTGACATTAAGTGACTTGCCCAGGGTCACACAGTTAGGAGGTGTCTGAGGTCATATCTGAATTCAATCAGGTCTCCTTGACTCCAAGCCCAGTGCACTGTGGCGCCCCCTAGCAGACCAAGAAATACTCTTAAAACATATTTGACCATGTCATTTCCCTGCTAAAAAGATCTTTGTTGGTTCCCTCTTGCCTCTATGATAAAATACGAAGTCTTTAGCCTGGCGTTTACAGAGGTATACAATCTGCCTAAAACCTGCTTTTTCGAGGCATTTCAAATTACTCCCCAAATGGTCTATTAGTGCAATAAGAGGAGAGAATGATTGTCAAGCATCTTTGCCCAGCTTGTCCCCTCAACCTGGAATGCTCCTTACCTCTTCAATTCTACCTCTCTTATGAAGCTTTTCCTGCCCGCCCCCCCAGATGCTACTCTTTCTCCTTCATCCAAATGCCTTCTATTTATTCAGATAGCTCTAGGTTGTAGCTTCCAGGAGAAAGGAATCTCCTTGAGGTCGGGACCCTTGTATCCCCATCCCCTATCAGTGCCCAATGACTGCTCTGTAAGCCCACCCAAGGTCACATGAGCAGTACTACCCAGTAGGAAATCCATGATTTAGACTTAGATTCTCTGACTTCAAATCTTCCCTAGAGCAGGTTCCTTTGAACCTAGGCTCCGTGAACTTGGGGGTTTGTTTTTAATACTCCGATCACTGAATTTCGATATAATTGGTTTCCTTTGTCAATCTATATGTTTTATTTTATTCTTCTGAGAAGGGGACCCTTCAGCCGCCTACTTGCACACCTGCCCAATAGCAGATAGGGTGCTGGACTTGAGAACAAGGAAGGCCTGGGTTCCAATCGTGCCTCAGGCATATAACCCTGGGCAAGTGACCTTGGTGAGCCCCAGCATCCTAAACCATAAAAACAAAAGGGGCTGCTAAGGGGCTTTACTTACCTCCTGAATCGATGCAGGGTTCCAATGGGATGACATCAGTCAGCACTTGGCAAACCTTAGATTGCCAGAGAAATGTGGGCCATTCTCTGAGAATGGCAGACAGAGAGCCTTGTCCCCAAGTGGGAAGGAAAAGGGGTCATAACCACCCTAAGATGTCTGACTTTTGGGAGGTTCAGAACCCTTTCCCCACACACACGACCTCACTGGATCCTCACAACAAGCCTGGGAGGTAAGTGCTCTTTTCTTTGGGTCTATGCTTTCCTCAAGGGTAAGGAGGATTGTCCTCTTACTGCCTCTGCTGCAACTTACCAGCTGAGGGGGTGCTTAAAAGGGTAGTTGGGGCACTGAATTGGCAGGGCAGACAGGAAGTGAGCCTCCAGGCATCTGCCTCTGAGCTTCACTCACCACCCAGCTGGTGGCAGCAGATAGTCCAGAGAGAGGTGTGGAGTCCCATGCAATTCCCATCCCACACTGCCTCCCAAGGAAGAAAGAGGCTGGCCCTGAGGAGGAGGGCTCTCTGGGGAAGGGTGGAGGGGACGTGGGGGGGGGGGTCCCCTGGCTTACTTGAGCTGTGTTTCGCCAGGTACTTGTCTTTGTACTTCTTCTTCTTCCCCCCGAACGGGCTGCAGCTCGGGGACTCGGCCCCAGTGGCTGACTGGGCCACACTCGCCACTCTCCTGGGGGAACCAAGCCCAAAAACACTCAGTGGGGGATGGTGGGTGGCTGAGGGTTCAACCTCCCCACCCACATTCCCCCCTTGCTCAGGCCCTCCAAAAGTGCCAATGACTGCCAGCCATCTTCCTTTTTCATTGCCACCACCTAGGGGTTTTTTTCCTCCTTCCCCCTCTCCCCTCTCTGAAGTAAGCACAAGACTGGGGCTAGGGGTGGGGAGAGGGATAGAGCCCCACAAAGAGAATGGCCCAGGACAAGCTACAGCTCTAACTGTCCCACAGTCACTCAACAGCCTTTTCTTGGCTCCTCTCAGTGTCCCCACAGAGTCATTGGAAGGTTCAAGGTGTTAGCTGTCCCTGCTCCCTCCCATCTCCCCTTCTCTCCTCACTCAGACATTGCCAGACCTCATGGCAGATGGGGGGGGGGAAGTGCTCTTTGAAGAAGAAGGACAATCAGTGTTCAGAAAGAGGGCAGGTGGGAGCCCAACCCTGACCGCTGGTTAAGCAAGGCAGGTACCGCTGGGGCACAGCCAGGACCACAAGGAGGTTGGATCATTCCATTTCTTTTTTTTTTTTTTCCTTTTTGGTGAGGCAATAGGGGTTAAGTGACTTGCCCAGGGCCACACAGCTAGTAAGTGTCAAGTGTCTGAGGTTGGATTTGAACTCAGGTCCTCCTGACTCCAAGGCTGGAGATCTATCCACTGAGCCACCTAGCTGCCAATCAAATTCATTTCTGGACACTGAGGGAGTTTGTGCTCTTTTTTCAGAGTGATGGATCTCAAAGCATCAGTAAACATAAAGGAGCATTTCTAGAGTTTTGGACTTAAGGAAGCTAGCTACACAAAGGACAGGAAACAAGCAGCTTTGATGAGGCTGGAAGCAGGAGAGGGGAAGCGGCTTCGGGGACACAGTCAGATGTACAGTCCTGGAAACTGGCATTGAGCAGTGGAAGGCTTTGAGACAAAAGTAAGCGATTCAGCTGCCAGGGTGAGCTAAGAGCAGCTGTGTGACTGCATGCAGGGAGAGATAGATGGGGGGAGAGAAAGCCAGCCAGTTAGGCATGTCTGCAAGACAGGGGTCAACCAAGGATGAGACGGGGCCCCAAGGCCTTGGGTATCTGAGAAATCTGCTTTGGCACCTTTGTGAGGCTGATCATCACGAGAAGTGCCCTTAAGTCTCTCACCTCAGCTCCTCATTTCTAATACAGGAAAAAGCAACTGCGTACCTTCAGTTAGACATACAGTCAGCATTTAGAACATAGAGCAATCTAATAAATGCAAAAGCAGGTAAGGCACATTTTAGGTCCAGGTAAAGGAGCCCTCTCAATCACTACAATATTACAGGATGGATTGGCCCCCGTCTCCCTTTTACAGATGAGGAAAATGAGGCAGAGAGACTGAGCCAGGGCTAAGCAGCTGGTCAGTAGCAGAAGCAGAATATCAATGCAGGTTTTCCTCATTCACAGACTCAAAGAGTCAGATGACTTTTATGGTTATCTACTCTAACTCACACCTAGAAGGAATCCTCACTCTCATGCACAAGTGATTGTCGGGGGCAGTTGGGTGGCACAGTGGCTAGAATACTGGCCCTGGAGTCAGGAGGACTTGAGTTCAAATCCAACCTCAGACCAAACACTTGACTTACTAGCTGTGCGACCCTGCACAAGTCACTTAATACCAATTGCCTAAAAAAAAAAACAAAACAAAACAAGTGATTGTCTAACCTCTGCTGGAAGTCCCAAGGAAGGGAAACTCGTGGCTTCCGGAGGCAGCCCAGGCCATTCTAAGATAACCTGGCAATTCTGGGACAGCCTAAAGTTTTTCCTGACATCAAAGCCCAAACTTTGAAACTTGTTCCTGACTCTGTCTTCTGGGGATGAGCTAAACAGAGACAGTATAACACAATGAAGAGAATATGGGATTTGGCCTCTTGACAGCGGGTGATGAATTAGAGGCCCAGAATGAGGCCCATTCTCAGACATGGCCAGTGTGGATATGTGGGTGGTTCTGGGCTTATTGGTTACTTAGAGCTTTTTTGGGGGGGGGGGCTGGGAGCAGAGGGTTAATGATAATGAAGCAGAAAAACTGAAATGACAAGATCATCAATGGGGGCAGCTAGGTGGTGCAATGGATAGAGCACCGGCCCTGAAGTCAGGAGGACCTGAGTTCAAATCCGGCCTCAGACAAAACATTTGACACGTTCTAGCTGTGTGACCCTGGGCAAGTCACTCAACCCCAATCGCCTTAAAAAAAAAAAAAGATCATCAATGAACAATTACAAAAAGAACACAGAATTGATCAGAAGGAGGCTCAGAGGGAAACACAGACAAATGAAACAGCCTTGGGACTAACTGATCCTATGTATTAGTTACTTTTAAAAAACAGCTCTACATAACAGAGATTTACAATTTCATGCACAATCTCCTCTCTGTGTAGGGAAATGCTCATGTTGTTGGTGTTTGTAGAGTTTAGAATAACAAAAAAGAAACATTGATTTGAAAAATAACGTTGGAGGGGCAGCTAGACGGCGCTGCAGTGGACAGAGCACATGCCCTGCAGTCAGGTAAGACCTGAGTTCAAATTCAGTCTCAGGCACTTACTAGCTGTGTGTGTGTGTGTGTGTGTGTGTGACCCTGGGCAAGTAATTTAACTCCGATTGCCTCCCCCCACCCCCACCCCCCAAAAAGGGACTTTTGTAAGTCAGGGAACTTGGGTTCCAATTCTGACACTGCTGCTTACTACTTACTTAAATTGTAAGCTCCTTGAAGGCAGGGACTGTCATTTGCCTCTTTTTGTTTCCCCATGTCTTAGCATAGTCACTCCTGGCACACAGTAGACACTTATGCTTACTGATTGACTGATTACCTGTGTGACCTTGGGCAAGTTACCACCTCTCTGGGCCTTAGTTTCTTCATCTGTGAACATGAGGGGGTTGGAATCAATGACTTGCTGAGGTCTCTTCAAGCTCCAACTCTATGATTCTATACTAAGATAGCCTTAGTTTTTAATATTCTCACTTAACAGATGAGGAAACTGAGGCCCAGAGGTTAAGTGACTTTTCCATAGTCACACATACCATCCCAGATCTACAGCCAAAAAGATCCTCAGAGACTATTGAGTCCAACTCTTTTCATTTTTCAGAAAAGGAAAGTGAGGTCCAGAGCACTTAATAAATGCTTGCTGAGAGAATTCTGGGAAGATTGTGAAATAGGTCAGATAATTCCAAGCTCTCCAGATTTCTCCCACAAACAAGATAAAATATTCGCCTTAGGGTGAATATAGAGCAGTAAAAATAAACAAGAATTGGGGCATAACAGTGGTCTTCCTGGGACAATCAAAGAAGATAAGAAGAAAGGTTTGGTTCCAGTGAAGAGTAAACACCTCCAGGCTAGTTCTGCTGAAACAGCAATTGGTGAACCTTGGGGCTAGCTGGGTTGGGAGGTAACCTCAGCCCCAGCCACAGGAACTTCTACCTCCCAGACAGTGTGGGGAGTTGGGTGTCTGCACCTGGGGAAGATTGAGGGAACCTCTCCTAATAAGGGATGCCAGGCCCAGCTGTGCTGGCTAGATGTGGCCCTGGGGGAGAAGGAACCAGCATACTGCCAGTGAGTGCAGAAGCAATGGGGCCGGGACTCCACTGGCTGTGGGCACTTACAGGAGGGCGGAGTTCTTGGTTTTGGTTCCAGGCCAGAGGAGAGGATCTGAGGCCAAAGGCACCACTCCTCATACCCCAGGTCTAGAGGTGATTACAAAAAATAAGCTGCTACAAATTAAAAAAAAAAAAAAAGAGTAGGCAAAGGAGAAAGAATCTAACCATAGAAAGTTACTATGGGAATAGAGAAGACCGGAGTTCATCTTCAGAGGAGGATACTGAAGCAAAGAAAGCCTCTCCTACCCCAAAGAGTAACGTCAAATGGTCAGCTGTCCAAAAAGAATTCAGAGAAAAACTTAAAAAAGACTTTAAAAATCAAGTGAGAGAGATCGAGGAAAAATTTTTTAAAATCCAAGAAAAACAAGATTATGAAAAGAAAGTTAACCAATTAGAAAAGGAGATTCAGAATCTTAAGGAACTCCTTGAAAATCAGAATTGGACAAGGGGAAGCCAGCAAAGTTATAAGAGACCAAGAAATAATAAAACAAAATATAAAGAATGAAAAATAGAAGAGAATGTGAAACATTTCAAAAGAAAAACAACTGAACTGGAGAACAGATCAAGAAGAGAAAACACAAGAATAATCAGACTACCTGAAAGCTATGATAAAAAAAAAAGAATCTTGACACAATAATACAAAGAAAATTGTCCTGAAGTGTTAGAACAAGAGGGTAAAGTAGAAATAGAAAAAATCCACTGATCACCTCTTGAAAGAGATCCTCAGAGGAAAACCTACAGGAATATCATAGTCAAATTCTGAAACCCCCAGCTCAAGGAGAAAATAGTATGAGCAACAAGCAAAAAACAATTTAAATATCGCAGTACCACAGTTATAATCACACAAGACCTAGCATCAGGGACACTAAAAGACCAAAGGTGTTGGAACACTATATATCAAAGAACAAAAGAACTGGGGATTCAGCCAAAAATATCATATCCCCCAAAGTTAAGCATAATCCTGAATGGAAAAAAAAATGACGTCTAATGAATTGCCAGACTTTCAGGAGTTTGTTTAAAAAAAAAAAACAACACTGAAATAATAGAAGATTTGACATATAAGATCCAAGAGAAACATAAGGTACATATCAAAGACTAATTACAACGGACTCAATAAGGACAGACTGTTTACTTTTTATATGAGGAAATGTAAAGCATATGTCTAAGATTATTGTTAGTAATTGGGTAGTGAAAAAAAAATATTGGGGTAGACCTGAGTATGATATGATTCCAAAAAATAAAACTGTTTAGGAAAAGGTAAAAAGAATAATTATCTTATATAAACAAGGTGTAACAGGAAGGACTGACACAGAGGAATTAGATGGGGGAGGAGGGTTGGTAGTTCTGGAATCCTACTTTCATCATGAATGAGTTTAAGAGGGAACAATACATATATCATATATATCTATAAGGGTATAAGGTCTTCTAAATTCAGAAAGAAATAAAAGGCTTATGCTATATCAGATTATGCACCATCTTAGGGAGGTTGGTGGGGAGGAAGGGGGAGAAAAATTTTAAACTCAAAAGCATATTGGAAGTGATTATTGATAAATCAAAATAAATTAATAAAAAAAATATGCAAAGCCTCATGCTAAGAACTGGGGATACAAAGGGGAAAAAAAAAAGAAATAAAAGGCTAATGGAGGGATCCTGGGGAGAGGGGAGGGGAGGTTAAGTAATAGGAGGGCAAGGTAGTGGATAGAGGTAAAATAGAGGAGTCAGGAGGGATAGGAAATAAGAGATATACAAAAACATAAAATAAAGATCAGGAACAGAACTTATTAGGCAAAAAAGAAAACAGGAGTAGTAATCATGACCTCAGACAAAGTTAAAGCTAAAACAGATTTAATCAAAAGAGAAAAATAGGGAAACTACACTATATGTTAGCCTTACTAATCAATATTGTTTCAGACTATTTAAAATAACTACATAGTATAAGGTTGGACTATTGCTGTGGTGTAGGAAATGATGAGTTGGTGGACTTAGAAAAATATGGAAAGATTTGGACTTATAAAAGAAGATGTTATCCACCCTCAGAGAAACAGAGGACAAGTAAGTATGGTACAGTCTTATATAGATGGATATGAATGTATATGTCTATATATGAGTATGATTATAGACTAAGTATATGTAAGTGTATGTATGTATATATGTGTATATGTGTTTGTATATGTATGTATATAGATGTGTGTATGTATATGTGTACATGTGTGTATAAATATACCTGTGCTTAATTGTAGCCTTCTTGAGGGAGGTGGGGAGGAAAGGGTAAAAAAGAACAAAGTAAAAAATGCACAGCAGAGAACAAAAGAAAACTTACAAGGAAGCAAAAAAAAGATGGACAGCTCTGAATGCAATGCATAGTATTTATTATATAGGCTTTCTTGAAATGGAAATTTATTGTTACATATTTTGAATCCTCTCATGTTCTGCTAGGCACATAGCAATGCTTTTTTTCTTTTCTTATTTTGTATTTAAGTTTCCATATTTAAGTTTATGTTTCTTTTTCTTATTGTGTATTTAAGTTTAAAATAAATTAATATAAATAAGCAAGTAAGCAAATAAATAAATCCTTGTTGACTGGGCAAGGTTCAAAAGTAGCAGCATCAAAATTTGAACCCAGGTCTCTCCGGACTTAACCACAAGCTGCTCCAGTGAAAGGTAAACTCAGAGTAGTGACTTTGCCTTCTCCCCAAACACACAGACCAGAGAGCTCTGAAGTGGAAGGGAGCTTGGAAATTAGCGAGGCCAACCCATTCAATTTACAGGAGAGGAGACTGAGGCCCAGAAAGGGGAAAGGTACAAAACTATAGTGAGGAAAGTACTCTACAAGACTTAAGGCACTCTAGAGTGACAGCCCCGTTGATGAATATTACAGACCCTGGGCAGGAAGAAGAGGAGGGAGGATTCGAACTCTCTGACCCCTAAGCTTTTTTTTTTTTTTTTTTTTTGGCTAGGCAATGGGGTTAAGTGACTTTCCCAGGGTCACACAGCTGGTGAGTGTTATGTGCCTGAGGCCAGATTTGAACTCAGGTCCTCCTGACTCCAGGGCCGGTGCTCTATCCACCGAGCTGTCCCACCCCTAAGCTTTTTTGATGGAAACATTTTCACGAGATGTTACAGGTCAGTAAGCTTCTCTCTACCATCCTCTTGGGCATGTAACCTTTTTAGCCCAAGTGAGTTGAAATGTCCCCATCTGAGTTGGCTGAATCTAGAGTCAAACGACCTGTGTTCAATTAACCTGCGTGACCTTGGCCGAGTCACCAGCTCTCTGGACCTCAGTTTCCTCCCCTGTACAGTGATGGAATTGGATTTGATGACCAGCTCTAACACACTGAATTGCATCTCATCACCTTGTCCTGCCCCATCCTCCATCCTTTCTGCTCACAGGGTTGGGATGTCTCTAGCCTTGCCCCTCCCCCCCACACATACACTGTTGTGTTTATTTCTCCCCGTACGGGAACTCCTAGTGGGCACACAGACTGTTCCCTTGGGGCCTCTGCATGCCAAGCCCTGGCACCTAGCAGGCACTTGCTCAATGTTTTCTGGGCTGAGATGAGTGCACCTGCCTCTGGGGCCCCCCTGACCTACCACTCTTGCAGCTCCGGAGAGGGGACCAAGCCCGCAGCCTCCCTGGCAGAGCCTTCTACCCTGCCCTGCCACCAATTGCTGTCGTCCTTGTTGATGATCTGAATGATGTCTCCTGTGGCGAACTTCAGGCCTGCTTCCTTGCAGGGGATCAGGGGATCCTTCTGGGGATCATAATCAAACTGGGCCCTCATGAACATCTGCACAACAAAGTTGGGGAGGGGGGAGGTCAACTGAAGAAAGCTATTCCAGGCTTGGAAGAAAAAAGCCCCAGGCTGCCTTGCCCTGCAGCAAAGTCCTGCTAGGGATTCTAGCATTTGCCATTCCCCAATCCCCAAGGGGGCAAGTGCCTCCCCATCAGTCACACTCTAGACCACCCCACTGCTGCCCAAGCAGTCCCACACTCCAGCAGCAGCACTAGAGCAAGGATGGTGATGGCCAGCATGCCCTATCCAGAGCTCGGTCTTAGCTCGAATTTGGGATCTGGAAATCACTTCCAAGATAAGCTAGTCATCTTACAAATGAGCAACCAGAAACCCTCTGAGCTCTACCCCAAGAAGAAGTGGTAGGCTGACCCTTCTCACTCAGACCTTGTGCCTCCAGTACAGTGAAAGGCAGTTAGGTGTCAGAGAGCACTGCTCTTGGAATCAGAAAGACCCGAGTTCAAATTCTACCGCAAACACTTACTAGCTGGGTGATCCTGGATAAGTCACTGAGCCACTCTCTGCCTCAGTTTTCTCACCTGTTAAATAGGATTATAACGGCTCCTACTTCCCAGAGTTGTTAGGAGGAACAAGATAATACATGCCAACTTTTGAGTGCTACAGAAACAAGGACCCTAACCCTAATGGGAGATCATTCTCCAACGTCAGCCCCAAACCAACCTAACCTCCTGTGCTCTCTAATCCAGGAAATGGGTATTTATGGATCTGTGAACACGTTTCCCTCCAAGAGAATGTCGGCTCCTTATGGGCAGGAACTATTTCACTGCCATGGATCTATCCCCATTGGAACCCGGCTTCAATGGTATAGGCCAATGACCACTTGGCCCTGCCCCACAGCCTCTTCAGTTTATAGACTTTCATCAGACTGGGAAATGCCCATCCTAGGCCAGAGCCAGGGAGGAACAGCTCACACGGGGAGGAGGATCCCAGCCTTCCTGCCACCATCCAGCTGTGACATGGCCAGCTGGGAACTAGGCTTCACAACCCCCTTCCCGGCTGATCCCAATCTAGCTGCTCCTCTCTCTGCCCTAGTTATCCCTCGAAGTCTCCTAAACTGAGTAATCTGGCCTCAAACAAGGCTTTCTACCTCTGGACTGTCTCCATCTCAGCTCCTAGAAGGACAAAACTGATTAAAAGATCAAACCTGGGGGTCACTGGACCTGAGTTCAAATCCCAACAATGCAACTCACTACCTATGTAACTTTGGCCAAATCACTTGACCTCTCTGGGTATGAGTTTCCTCCTTGGTAAAATGAGGAGGTTCGACTAAGATAGCCTGGGAGGTGGCTCTAGAGCTCAGGTCCTGGACTATCTTGACCACTCTCCCCCATCCCCACACCTACCTCTCCCATCCCATAGTGCTAGGTACAGATACAGAACCACTTGGGACCAACTTCAGTTGTGCTGTGCTTAGCCAATGTGACACAGGGGACAGCAGCATTTGTTAAGTATTTACTCTGTGCCTAGTACTGAGCTGTGTGCTAGGGATACAGGAGCTTCAGACACACTAGCTGGGTGACCCTCGGCAAATCACTGAACCACTGTCTCTCTCAGTTTCCTCAACTACAAAATAGGGATGATAACAACACCTCCCTCCCAGGGTTGTTGTGAGGATCTAATGAGATAAGATTTGTAAAGCTCTTAGAGCACAGCACATGGCACATAGTAGGTTCTCTATGCTCCCATAATGTCAAGGCAGTTTGGTTTTAGTAGACAGTATTGAACTTGGAATCAGGAAGACCTAAATTCTAATGCTGCCTCAGATACCTACTAGCTGTGGGACCCTTGGTTTTTTTTCTCTTCTGTAAAATAGGGATAATAACAACACATAACTTCCAAGAGAAGATCAAAAACAATGTATAGAATGTATGCTGCAAATCTGCAAGCACTATATTATCATTATTGGAGAGAATGTGCACTCAAATGCAATCGATGTCCCATCAACACCTCCAACTCTACATGTCCCAAACTGAACTTACTCTCTTTCCCCTGAAGCCCTCCCCGCCCACACTTTCCCCATTCCTGTCTGTTCAGGGGGCTGCTAACCTCCCTGTCCCCCAGGCTCCCAAGCTAGGTGTCTTCCTAAACCATCATTCCTCCCCAGATCCAATCTGTTGACTTTACCTTCCTGACATCTCTCCTCCGACATGGCTGCCACCCTGGGGCAGGCCCTTATCACCTCACTCCTGGGTAAATCTGACTGCCTGAGACTCTCCCCACTCACTCCAGCCCATCCTCCACTCAGCTGTCAAAGTGATCTTCCTAAAGAGCCTGTCTGACCATATCCATCCCCTAACCCCCCCCCCCCCATTAATAAACTCCAGTGGCTCCCTATCAACTCCAAGATCAAATGCAAAATTCTCTAGCGTTCAAAGCCCTTCAGAACCTGGTCCCCTCCTATCCATCCCCACCCTCATATTCTACAGTGATACTAACCTCCTTGCTCTCCTTGAACAAGAATCTCCATCTCCCAACTTAAGGCATTTTCCCTGTCTGTGCCCCCTGCCAGGAATGCTCTCCTTCCTCACCTCGGCCTCCTGGCTTCAAATTCCACATTTTCCAGGAAATTCTTCCTGGTCCCCTTTAACGCTAGTGCATTCCCTCTGTTGAGTATTTCCAATTAATCCCATCTACACTACAGCTTGTTAGTATGGGTTGTTTGCATGTGGTCATCCCATTACACTGTGAGCTCCCTGAGAGCAGGGACTATCTTTTACCTTTCTTTTTACTCCCAATGCTTAGCAAGTGCTTGGCACATAGTAGGTGCTTAGTAAAGGTTTATCGACTACCTGCAATGATTTCAGTGGGGAGGGCATTTGCAATTGGGAAGAAAATCAGAACAAGCCTTGCCTAAGAAATGCTGCTTGTGTTGAGCTTTGCCGGAAGCTAGAAGAGCTAAGAAGAGGCTGCTTGTACACGGGCCTAGAGGGCTAAAATGGAATAGGACATACAGGAAGCAGCAAGAAGGCAGTATGGTGGGCGTGAAGCCCTGAAGAAAGCCTGGAAAGGCAGCCTGCAGCTTGGTTGTAAAGAGCTCTGACTGAATGCTCACCAGAGAGCATTCATGTGCATTTGATCTCAGAGGTAAGAGAGAGCTCCTGGGGTTTGCTGAGTGACATGGTCAGATCTGTGGTTTAGGAAGATTACTTTGGGAGTCTATGAAGCCTGGATTAGAGAGGAGGAAAGACTGGAGGCAGAGAGGCCAATAAGGAGGCTTGGTACAGGTGAGGCCCAGTGAGAGACACAAGAATCTGGACTAGAGTAGGAGTCATGGGGGCCTTTCAACTGTAGTAATGCATCATAGAAGGGCTTCAGGGAACACAGGAGCCTTCTGGACCCTTTTCTTGGATTTGAATGGATAGTTTAGAAAACTTACTATGGGCTTTTCCACAGGCCTCACCCAAGCCAGGCTCCATATACTGCACTGGTCCTGGTCCCATGGGCTAAGCTGAATTTGTACAGCTTTACTTGGCAAGATCTCCCCTCCCAGATGATTATGAAAGTGAGAAGTATGGGCCCAACCCTTGAATCATCAGCTTCCTCATCAGGGAACTCACAGGAGGGAGGGCCAGAGTAACACACTGGAGGCACTACTTGGTACCACCCGAAGGCCCAAATCTAGTCTTGGAATCAGTCTCTGAAAACAGGAAAAGGTCACATATTCCAGGTTCAAAAAACCTGGCAGTGGATTGGATACGTCAGAGATCAGGTGGACAGGAGAAATCCAGGTAGGCAAGCAGAATCCCAAGGTATCCTCCCTTACCACTTACTGCCTGGAGGGAGAGACAGTGAGACCAAGCAAAGGTCCCACAGTACTGAGGGGGCTTCGAGGTAGAAGGAGGGCAGCTCTTTCCAGGAGAAGTCAGGAGAGGCTGACCCAATTCAGGAAATCATGGGGAGGAAACACCAGGAACAAAATCCTCATATGCAAGAGAATATATACCCAGACAAAAGCTGTGGCCCCTTGTGCCTGGTAAGTCAGGGTAAGGAGTCCTAGACTAGGCTGACTGGGTTCTGTTCTTCCTCACTTCTTCCTAGAGCGACCTTCAGTTCTCTGGTTTGCAGGATGAACGGGGAAGGGAAAAGAAGAATTTCTAGAGTATCTATTAAGTGCCAGGCATTGTGCTAAGTACTTCACAAATTATCATCTCATTTGATCCTTACAACAACCCAAGGTAGGTGCTGTTATTATTCTCATTTTATAGATGAGGAAACTGAGGCAGGCAGAGATGAAATGACTCGCTCAAGGCCACACAGATAGCTATGTGTCTGAGGCCAGTTTTTAACTCAGGTCTTCCTGTCTAGACTTAGCATTCTTTTCACTGCCCCACCAAGCTGCCTCAATCCAGTGTGAACCCAGCTACTCAAGGGGCCCACAGAGTCCCAATCCAGTTACTCACTCCAATAAAGGCAGCTGAAAGGCATAGTTGCACAGAGGAAAGGACGGAATTTTTAAGCCAGTGTGCCCAGGCCAAAAGAAGGCAGCTAGCTGCCTGCTACTTGGGGAATATGGGGAGCTCCTGAGGAGCTCAGGTCGGGAGGCAATGACTTGTCCCTTCAGTTATCCCAGTAAGCCAGCTCCTTTCCATAGGCTTCCCATAGGAGGCAGCACTCAAAGAAAGAGAATACTTGCTAGGCTGTGGCCAGCATGAGTGCACCCAAGGGTGTACTGGGTACAGAGGGTAGGCTGGGTTTGAGGAACAGCTAGCCAGTTTGCTTGGGAGAGGAACATAAAGTGCTTTTAAGACAATAATATGAAATGGGCAGTTCAGAGCACAACTGATGAAGGCCTTAAATAGCATCCTAAGACGTTGGGCTCTTGAGCCAAGGAGAGTGACTATCAGATCTGAGGAATTAGGAAGGAGGATTTGGCAGCACCCGGTATCATCCGGCATCATCATGGCATGGAGAGGACTTTCTACTCTCAAAGACTTTCTCTTGTCCCAGGACCAATCCACTTAAGTTTTAAGTTTGGAGAGGCTCATCACCAAGCTGGCCACAGGATTAATTTTTTGCCTATAAAAACTCTCAGGCTATCTATCAAGGTCAGTGGAGGGAGTGCCCACAATGAAGAAGTCCCAGATACCTGAAGTCTTGAGGTTGGAGGTCAGTGAGGAGGCTGTTGCAATAGTGAAACTAAGAGGGTCAGAAGGTCTGAACTAAGCTAGTAGCCATGTGAGAGGTAGGAGGGGACAAAGGCAAGAAAGGTCAGACAAGTGGAACAGACAAGATTTAGCACCTGAGTGGATGTGGGGGTGAGGGAGATAGAAAAGTTCAAGAACAACACTAAGTTGCCAAGTCTAAGCAACTGGGAAGACGTTGGTGTTGCCACCAGAAATGGAGGTATTGGGAGAGAGGCAAGTTTAACGAGGAAGATGAGGTCAGTTTTGTACATGGGAAGTTGGCTATGTGGGACTGGAAAGACAAATAGATTAGGTATGTAGTGCAGCCATGGGAATGGATGCAACCCCTCAGAGAGAATATAGAGAGAATGTGGCCCAGGACAGAATCTAGGGGAACAGGAGTCGATTCTTTTTCTTCCCCAAAGAATAAGTGTAAGTGGTCTACATAATTGGATCTGTGTAGACATAGTTAGGAACACACACACACACACACACACACACACACACACACATGCATATGTACACACAGTCAACCTAGTATGAGTTCTCAACTAAACTTAGAACAGAGTCAGTCTTCAGGACCTGGTGAGAAAAGCCTAGATTTGGACTCAAGGAGAACCCGGGCTTGAATCCTCACTTACTCTCCCCTTTTGTGCCTGTGTGACTCCAGGCATACTCTCTCTCAAAGCCTCAGTAAAAGAAGGGCCTTGGCCAAGATGTCCTCTCTGATCCCAATGGTGGCAAGGACATAGCATCTGATTGTGTTGTCTACAAAAACACCCTAGAGGTAGAGACAAAGCACTGAGGAGATACAGAGGACAGTAAAAAGAGATTAGAGGATGGCAGGATGGGGGATAACAGCTGGATCTGTAAGTCTGCCAAAGATGGGAAGGCTGAGAGGCCCAGCAACAGACTTGTCAGGCAGGACAGTCTCTGCATCCCAGGCCTCTGGCAGCCAAGTCTCTGCCAAGCTCCTTCTCCCCGGATCCCCAGTACCCCAAACATCATTTAAGGTCTCACCACATGCTTTGCTCATGTCGAGCCTGAAATGATGCTTATGGTCTGATTTCACCTCCTTGGTTGTCTTTCCTTACAGGCCATCTCTCTTCCCGTGATCTCACCATGCCCTCCCCCAGCCCCCAATCCATGAGGTCCTGAGAAATCCTTCTGCTCAATTAAACCCCCAAAGTGGGGGGGAGTAGGAGAGAAGGGCCTTCTCCTTTATAGACTCCCTTCATGATCTTACAACACCTCTTCCCCCAAACAATCTGTACGCGTTTATATTTATTTCTCTGTATACATGTTTCCTCAAGTAAAACATAAACTTCTTGAGGGCAAGATTGCTGTGGGTTTTCCTATGTCTAGGGCCTGGTGAATTCCCAGCACTTAATAAATGCTCCTTAATCATAGAACTGCAGAATTCAGAGCATCACAAATTTAGAGCTGGTGGGGACTTTTAAGACTATCTTGGTGAACTTCATTTTACAGATAAGGAAACTAAGGCTAATTTTTCCTACATGTTTCACCAAAAGCAGTGAAACTGCTAAATGTGAGAAGCAGAATGTGAACCCAGGTTTCCTTGACACCAAGTCTCGCCTGATACCCACTTTCCACCATCTACCACCTACCATGCTTGTGAGACCTCTGAGGCGGTCTGAGGCCCTGACAAGTCAACTCAAGTTACTTCCACGATTCTAGTCAATGGTGACTGTGGGAATTGACAGAGGGGCTGCCTTGATCTACCCAAGAAAAGGGTAGTCTGGGGGGAAAGGTGTGCTGGTTTGGGTGAGTCTGACTACCCACCTGAAATAAAGGTACATTTCTGTAGAAAATACAATGAACTGCTGCTCAGATGGCACTTACCATCACTACGATCATAGAGAGTATCTTGTCCAATCCTCTCATTTTACAGATTAGGAAACTGAGGCCCAGATGCCACAAGCAATGAAGACAACCTCAATCCACATCTCTTGCCCTCCATTCCAGTGCATGGCAAGTCATTGACCAATCATTCCCAAAAGGAATGGATCAAGAATGAGGGCAGGGACTAATTCATTTGTGTCTTTGTAATCCTGGTGCCTAAGCATGGTAGCTGCCTACTAAATGCACATTGATTGATCCAAGAGGATCAGGAGTTACTGTGCTTAGGGTAAGAGTACTAGGAGCAGATCTCCCAGAGTCTCACTGAGGACCCCTGGGTGACCCATGGACTAGACCTGATGGTCACACCCTTTTTCCTCTAGGCACAACACCACCACCACTGCCTCTTCTCCAGTTCCTTCCCTTCCCAGCCTACAACAATTCTGTCAGTCCTGTAAACTATTAGCTGCGTGAACCTGTGCAAATCACTCTGGCTCTCTGAGACTACGTTTCCTCTTCTGTAAAATGGGGATAATAGAAGCACCTCCAGGCAGCTAGGTGGTGCAGTGACTAGAGTGCTGGGTCTGGAGTCAGGAAGAATTGAGTTCAAATCCTGCCTTAGACACTTACTAGCTGTGTGGCCCTGGGCAAGTCACTTCACTCTGTTTACCTCAGTTTCCTCATCTGTAAAATGAGCTGGAGAAGGAAATGGCAAACTACCCCCATATCTTTGCCAAGAAAACTCCAGATGGGGTCACAAAGACTGACTTAAAATGACTGAACAACAAAAGAAGCACCTCCTTTCTCTCCCCACACGCCACTCTTGTGAGACCCAAAAGAGACAGCATGTACATACCTTCAAGCCCATATAAACATAATGACTTAAAATGAAGGGAAGGTAATAACGTAACGTTGTCTCTCACTGCTCTGCACCGGCGGCTGCTCAGGCAAAGGCCGGGGTAATGAGCCTCCAGTCATGGTCCACCCTGTTTGAAGACTGCTGTCCAAAGCTAAAGTGAGAGGGCCGGCTGCCACTGTCCTCAGCAGTCCAGGGTCCTGTGGCTCCCAGGCAAAGTACACATCCCCAAGAGCCTCCCTAGGCTGAGACCATGGGCATTGTTCTGGCCTGTGATAATGGCCCTTCCCACTAGGGAAGAGAGATTTCCAGAGGCCTTCCTCTCAACACCTCGACATCCATCTTGTCTAACAGAGTCCCAGGCCCACCACAAGCAAATCTCAAGGAGCCACGCTACTAGTTCGGCCTTCATTTTCCGTGAACAAGGCCTTCCAGAGAACACATAGACACCTACCTGGAGAGCAGGGAGACGGCTCTGCTGGTTGGGAATCACTTTTAGTGAGATTGTTCCTTTGGTTTCTTTCTATCGGACAAAGGGAGAGGAAACACACACACACAAAATGCAGGAATGATTAATATAGATCGATTTGTTTTTGAGTTTCTCAGTGTCTTCAGGTGTAATGGAGGAAACAAGGAGACAATTCCCCCCAAACTGTCAACCACTGTGTGTGGTAACTGCTGTTCCATGTACTGTGGGTGCCTGCTATGCCTTCTGGTGAGGATGAGGCAGCAATGGACCAATGCATTGTCTTGTTATCCATTGGCCAGTGAATCTTAGTGCTCCCCCAAGGAAAACTGGAGCATGCTCCTGTCTCATACGTTTAGCTCACATCCAAATTTCACTCAATGAAATCCATACCAGGTGGTGCTCCCCCTTCTCATTTTATACACACCAAAAAAGGGTGAGTAAGATCCCCCTTCAGGAGGCACCTGCTCGATGGGCCCCCAAAGCTAGGGTGGGCTTAGGACTGCTGGGTGCTAACCACCCCCCCACTCCATACTTACCATGACCTTCTGCAGTTGATCAACAGAGTGGTTGGTCACACTCATGCCATTGATTTCCAAGATCTCATCTCCCACGTGAAGGGAGCCTGCCAGGGTGAGAAAATGAACTGAGGAGAGGAGATCTTTGGAGAGACAACTCAACATCCCACCCACTCCAGAAACAATACTGTGTGGGCATGTGCTGGGGGGGGGGGGGGGGGGGGGGAAGGGGGGCAGGGGGGGGTACAGAGGCAGGGGCAGCACAAGGGCAAGACTTCCAGCCCTTCTATTATTCCCTATCCCTAACCAATAGACAGCACAGTCAAGGCATCTTCTTCCACGTGGAGGCAAAAGTCCTCCCACTCTCCTGGAACTGTAGTAATTTAAGCCAGTACCCCATTTCTGTGTGGTGCATGAACTGATGGGGAAAACACCAAAGAGGGAGTGAGAAATGCGAAAGAATTAACCATGCACCCCTCAATCCTGTGACCACCCTGGAATCTTGCCAAATCCAAGAGCAAAAAAGACATGATGCTGAAAGGCAAGACTTTTTCTAAAAAAGGAAAACACCTTTGCAGAGTAACTGGCATTCTTGGTGCCATCACGCATACTCGGGAGATCTTCCATGAGGAGGCAAAGGACATGAAATTGGTGTGGGGCGGGAAATAAAGGGGGGGGTATAAGACACACCTGGGGAAATCAAGGAGAGAGGCAACGGACCAGGGGTGGGCCTTGGAGGTGTGGAATCAAGAAATCCAACTTCATGTTTCCATTTGGAAAGTGTGACCCCTGGGCAAGGCACTGCCCTGTCCCAGCTCAGGCTATGCTCCAGAGCAGATGCTGGAGACACAGGGACTCAGCCCAGGGCCTATCCAAGCCACAGGAGGTACCCTTCAGCTGAGCTCAGTGCTCTTCCCTTCCCAGGGTACAAGCTCCCCTCTCCTCCCTCTACCCACCCACATCCCACACACCAGTCCCAAAGAGCTCTTGAGTACTAAGAGATGAAATGACTTATCCGCAGTCACACAGCCTTTAGGCATCAGGGGCTGACCGTGAACCCAGATCAGCCAGGGCGGGTCACAACCGGGTACTGTTTGTGAATCATTTCAGGTTTGTAAAACTTCTTTTCTAGCTGGTACACTTGAGTGAGGGATCACTTGTAGACATCCAAGTGTTTCACACAACACTTGGCACAGTAAATTGAATTGTAAACTCCTTGAGGGCAGTGACTGCTCCCCGGCCCTTAGCTCAGCACAGTGCCTGGCGCACAGTAGGCATTTAGTAAGCGTCTGCTGACCAACGTACATAAAACATCTGCTTGCCAAAAAGACTTTTATGGAGAGCTCACACAGGGCAAGTGTTCACATGGTGGCCCCCCCCAACCTCCTACTAACTATTCCTCAATTCCTCTGTAACCTGGCCTTCCCTAAGATCCAGCCTCCATGTGCCCCTTGGTGTAGCTTGTGCACCAGGGTACCCCACTGTTTTCCTAATTATACTTCTGGTTTTTTTTTAAACTTTTTAGGCAATTGGGGTTAAGTGACTTGCCCAGGGTCACACAGCTATACAGAAGTGATACAAGGACACTCTCAAGGTCTCTCTTAAGAACTTTGGAATTAATTGTGTGACATGGGAGACACTGGCACAGGATCACCCACATGGCATGCCCTCATCAGAGAAGGGGCTGTGCTCTATGAGCAAAGCAGAATTGAAACAGCTAAGAAGTACAAGATGAGCAAATTTAGAGAATCCACCCCAAATGTTCACACGGACTACTTGCGCCAACCTACGGTAGAGCATTCTGAGCTTGTACTGGTCTGATCAGCCAGTCAGACACACTGAAACTTGACTCTACCATAGTGATGTCATTTGGTCCTCTCTGAGAACAAAGGACAAAAACCAACCAACCAGCTGACTGACTGCCACCAGATGTACAAGGCATACTGGTGAACTGGGCTGCTGAAAATCACTTTGGGACAGCTCTCACTGTTAGGTCTGGGGATTGCAAACATTTCCCTAGGATCCCCCACTGGGCAATGGGCACATTCCCTCCCCCACACCAGAGAAAGGCTCTCATAGGTGAGCACCAAAAGCTACCTTGTCTGTGAATCATTCCTCCATGGAGAATTCTGGCCACCATGCAAGACTGTTTCTCATTCAGCTTCAGAGTAATTCCCTGGAAGAAAGGGAAACGTACAAGGCCCTTCACATTAAGGAAGATGTGCTATGTTATTGTGCCAAGCTTGTCCCCAACAACAAGAGGAGCTCACTTTTCCAAAACGAGCATATTATCATTACCAGGCTACCTAGAGGAGTTCTAAAACTATCAGCCCCATTTTAAAGATGGGGAGACTGAGGCTTAGACTTTGGCTGAGCCAGGCCTCAGAGCCAAGTCTTCAAATTCCTTGGCCAGTGTTCTTTCTACTATACCACAATGGGCCTCCTGACTTAATAGAGCTTGGTATGGGGGTGGCAGGGAGGGAGTGGCATTCAGTAACTGAGCAAGCACCTTTCTGAAGTTTCCTGTTTCCAGGCCAAGGGACATTCCCCAGCAAGAAGGGGCTCATGACCATATATTGGGGGTGAGGAAAGGCCCTAAATTCTAGCTCATCCACCATACTCCATCTAAATTTGGTCTATACTGGGGGAGAGAGAGGAAGATGAGAAGGGGGGGGAGGGAGAGGAGAAGGAGAACAGAAGGGAGAGGGGAGGGAGAGGGAAGGTTGCCAACCAGCTCACCATGGGCTCCTCGGTGACTTTTTCAAACTGAATAAAGCGGACTTTCCGTGGCTCACGGTGACTGCCTTGGCCAGGTCCAGGACTAGCTGGTGCAGCAGACCCATTGGTGTATATATCCTCGGTCACAGCATTTGAGGGAAAGGAAGCAACCTGAGAAGCACAAAGCACCCATTAGAGTTAAGGCAATCAGGGAAAGGACTTGGCAGCAGGTCTCCAACAAAGGCTCCTCCTTCCAAGGGTCAGCACAGCAGCCTGAATGACACCCGACTGGCTCCAGAGCCACATGTACAGGAAGTTCTGTTCAACCAAAGGAGGCCCTTGGAGGCTCTTCTCCCATGAGCTAGCAAGGGGCCATGGGAGAAACTAAGAAAACGTATGCCAGACCAGACCCAGAATGTATGCCCAGGCTAATGTCTTCTTTACTAATGTCTTACAAATGTTTCCTGCTAGAAAAGCTAACCTCAGGCAGAGGCAATGGCAAAGGGAAGTACTTGGAATATGGGATACCCAGGGCCAAAGAAAGCATGTTCTCCCTGTGGGGTGGGCTCCCAGAGCAGCTCACACAAGTGCAAGACCATGAGGAAAACCAGAAAGCACATACATCTAAGCAGGGGGCCTAGAGCCACCAAAGTTGGCAGCTGGGAGGAGCCTGTGAGCCCAAAAAGCCAATTCTTCCATTTTCCAGAGGGGGAAACCATCTCCAGCTTTCACTGTCCTCTTCATTCAGGGCCCTCCTTACCCTGGGCCAGGAGGAGAATTCCACAGTCCCTGCTGTCACTTCCAGCCTCTCCTCCTTTGAGGTTCATGCTATCTACTGGTACCATGGCTGTCTAAATCCTTGCTGTGGTCATCTATACACTGTTCTCCTTTCTCAACTGAGTTTAGTACCTGACACAGTCTTTAGATCTTCTCCACCCCACACCTCACACCTAGGGACTTCCGAGTTCCCATTGACAACCCTTCAAATAATTTATTACCTCACTTCCTCACCTCCCATGGCCTCCATTTCCATGTTACCTTGGAAGCAATGTGACCATCACCTGAAAGTGACCTCAAACTCTTGAAAGTCCCTTCTCTGACCACATTCTCTTGGCCTTTCACCTCTCTCACTGTGTAACCCACCAGCTCAGGCCTCACTGTGACCTTCCCTGCTATCTCAGCACATCACCAACGTTCACGCTTCACTTTCTTCCCTTAAAAACCTTGACTCTGGAGTCAGCATTCTTAACAATGTAGTTCTTGCCCTCTACTCCCCAATCTCTGGACTTTCAACTGTTACCCAGCTCTGGCTCTAATCTCCTGCCCTCATCCTCCCTCCAGATGTGCGCACTGTTGCAGGAAGTCATAAAATCTTGCTGACCAGGTCCACTTGGATTTCATGCTCTTTAACTAGAACTTGGTCTTTTCACTAGACAATGACCATTTTTGTCATCTCCCCACGCCATCCGCTGATTGCATTCGCTTCTTGTTGAAGAGTCAGGAGACCCAGATTCAAATCCTGATTCTGCTCACTGTGTGACTTTGAGCAAATCACTTTCCTCCTCTGGTCCTGTTTCCTCATTTACAAAAAGAGATAGAGTAGACAGCCCTCTCAGGTCCCTTCTAGGTCTAAATCAAAAACCCCAAGTTCCTCTGAGTGTTAGATTTCCATTCCTAAGGATTGGGGGTGAAATCCCAGTTGCTATTCTGGATGTGAGGTCAGGCAAGTCAGAGAACTTCTCTAGGACTCTATATACTCTCCTGTAACATCCGGATGGCAGACTAGCTCTCCAAGGCCCTTTTGAAGGTCTAAATTCTGTGATTGTGCCACCTGGAGGAACTTGGACTATCAATCATTCCCTCTTCCTCCACTTACCAAAAACCTCAGGTCCCCCTAGACCTTAAAAAAGCATTCCTTGACCTTGCCCCCACCTCCATCTGCCCTGAGTCCATCCAATCTCTCTCTCGGAGGTGGAGAGCCTGTTCCATTATGAGTCCTTTGGAATTGTGGTGGGTCATTGTGTTGATCAGCATTTCTAAGTCTTTCACAGCTGTTTGTCTTCACAATATTGCTGTTACTGTATAAATTCAACAAGCATTTCTTAAGGTTCTGCTATGCTGGAGGCTGGGTGATGAGAATACAGAGATATCCAAGTCCCTGTCCTCAAGGAGCTCTCATTCTATCTATTCAGCCTTAATGCAGCTAGTTGGTACAGTGGATAGAGTGCCGGGCCTGAAGTGAGGAAGACCTGAGTTCATGACCTTGGGCAAGTCACTTGACTTCTGTCTGCTTCAGTTTCCTCATCTGTAAAATGGGGATCATAATAGCACACCCTTCCTAGGATTGTTGTGAGGATCAAACAAGATAATAATTGTAAAGCTCCTGGTATATAACAAGTGCCATACAAATTTTACTTATCATCATCATCATTAAAGCTCTCCTGAATTCCAGTCCCACATCCCCAAGTGCCTGAAGGCCATCTCTATGGGGAGGTCCTGGTGGCAACCCAAGATGGACATCTTCCCCAAAAAAACTCTTTTCTAATAGAATTAAAGCACTTTGGGGACCGGGGCTATTTCCTTTTGTCTCTTTTTGTACAAATCCAATAAAACTAAAATTAAAAGGGAAACAATTAACTAGAGGGAAAAAAATCTTTGCAAAGATCTGATAAAGGTCTCATTATCAAGACATATAGGGAAGTGATTCAAATTTATGAGAATTAGAGCCATTTTCCAACTGATAAATGACCTAAGGGTATATAAAAAGGCAGTTCTCAAGAGAAAAAATCCAAGCTATCTATAACTATATGAAAAAAAAATCACTACTAATTAGAGAAATGCAAATTAAAGCAATTCTGAGATTCCATCTCAGTGTCATCAGAATCACAAGGATGACAAAAATAAAAATAAAAATGTTACAAGGACTGTGGAGAAAACAGACATATTGATGCACTGTCGGTGGAGCTGTGAATGGGTACAACCATTTTGGAAAACAATTTGGAATTAATCACAAAACGTTGCTAAACATATGTGCCCTTTGATCCAGCAAGACCACTGCTAGGCGTGTACCCAAAAGAGATCAGAGAATGAAGAAAAGGTCCTATATGTATAAAATTACTCAGTGTAGCTCTTTTTGTGGTGGCAAAAAACTGGATGCCATCAACTAAAGAAGATCTGAACAAGTTGTGGTATACAAAGGTGATAAAGTATTATTTTGCTGTAAGAAATGAATGAACAGATGTATTCAAAAAGTCATGGAAAGATTTGTATGAAATGATGCAGAGTGAAGTAAGCAGAACCGGTTGAACAATGTATACTATAACATCGCTATTATACAAATGAACAATTCTAAGGACATTTATATACTGATAAGTGAAATGAGGAGACCCAGGAGAACAATTTATACACTACCAACAATGTAAAAACATGACCAGCCTTGATGCCAGAGGACCAGTGATGTAACATCCTATCCAGGACAGAGAGAAAATGTATTTCCGGGGGAAAATGAGCCATAGATATTTTTGCATACAGCCGTTGAGGGAATTTATTTTGCTTGACTCTGGATATTTATTTCAAGGAATTTGTTTTGCATTTGTTTTCTCTGCCAAGAAGAATGAACTTTGGACTGGAAAGCTGGGGGAGAGGAGGGGGGGGTAGAGAAGATTAACAGGGAGTTGATACCCAAGATGAGGAAGGCAATAACAAGAGAGACTCTGGATACCTTTGATGAATTCAAGTACCTGAGTCCAAATGAATGCTGTCCTTAGGTCCTGATAGAACTGAAAGGTGGGATTGCTGCACCACTGTCAGTGATACTGGAGACATTATGAAGAAAGGAAAAGGTTCCCCAGGGCTAGAGAAGCAAATCTTGTCCTAATTTTCAAAAGAGGGAAGAGAATAGTCTGCAACCTACAGGACAGAGAGTTTGACTTCTATTCCCAGAAAATGTCAGAGCAGATCATTAGGGTTAGTGAACATCTCAAGAAGGAAGCAGTGCTTACAAAGAGCCTTCAGGATTATCTTGTCAAAGCCAGGTCATGCCAGATCAACTTTACCTCCTTTTTGGATTGGGTATTAAGCTAGTACCAGAAGATATAAGAATACTACAAATGAAAGTAATAGAATGAAAATAAAGGGCTCAGAAAGAGAAGCTAAGAGTTACTGATCTCTTTAAACAGAAAAACGTGAAAAAAAAAAATCTTGGTGCTCTATTTCAGGAAATCATAAGATAACCAAATACAGAGGACAAAGTAAAGGTTGGCAAAATACTCAGGACACCAACAGAAAAGATACTCAAATCCAGCTTACACAGGCATGCAGTCTTTAAGCAAACTTTAAGAGTTCTGGACATAAACATACAAATCATATCTACAAAGCCACAATTCAATTGTGGTCTGGAAATGTAATGAAATACTATTACACAGTAAGAACCAACATTAAAAATTTAGAGAAACTTGGGAAGAGTTATAGAAATGGAACAGAATGAAACAATAAAAATCAGGAGGACATATATATACATATATATATATATATATGAGAGAGAGAGATTGAGAGACTACAGTAATGTAAATGAGATCAGATTTTTTAATGATTAATTTTGATTCCAGAAAACTAATAACATTTCCTTCCTCACAGAGGTGAGAGCCTACAGATGCAGAATGTTGCATCCCTTGGTCATTGTGCTACTTGGTTTTAACTTTTTTTTCTTGGTTATAATGGAGATTTTTATTGAGAGACATAATAGTAAAAATAGCTGTGGTGCAAAAAAAAAATCAACAAAGCATAAAAACAAATAGTTTGTAAATTTGTAATTAGAACTGCACAAGATTCTTTATCCACAACAAAAACAGAAAGAAGGCAAAGTGTGACACATGTGGAAAAGTGAGGGAAACTGGCCAGCAGCCTAAAATGGCTTGCTCAGAAATACAGACCATCTCATTTCATAAGAAAAAGATAGGAGGGGCAGCTAGGTGGCGCAGTGGATAGAGCACTGGCCCTGGAGTCAGGAGGACCTGAGTTCAAATCCTGTCTCAGACACTTGACACTCACTAGCTGTGTGACCCTGGGCAAGTCACTTAACCCTGATTGCCTCATCCCCCCCCCCAAAAAAAGATAGGGATTGGAACTAAAGCTGTGATGTCATTATTCTGGTGACTGACCAGACCCTTTCT